GCTGTATTGGGGGAAAAGTCAACTGTGGCCAATTAATAGTCAAACCTCATGAAATTTGACCCATATCAACATATTGAACTCATATGAACCATTTGGTCAAGTTTGGATCACAATTCCACAAGAAATTTGATCAGATCACCAAAAGGGCAAAATGGTCATTTTTAGGATTTTGACTGCACAAAGGCAATTTTTGACTGTTTGACCTAACCAATGGCAAACCAAGCTCACATATGGACTCAAGGACTCAATGGATTTGTCTTGATCCATTCAACAAGTTCAAAAGATCCCAAATGCACAAGATTGACAGATGAATTTTCCAGTCAACTGATCAAAATTTGACTGTATACTGAAAAGTCAAACTTTGACTTTTTGGTCAAAATCAAGTGCCAAGATTCATTTTTCATCAAGACATGTCAAATTATGAAACTTGTTCATCAAGAAACCCAAAATTGCAAATTAGGGTTTAAAATGAAGAAATTTCATAACTTAGAAATTTTAAGTTATAAAATTTCCTTATTTTTTCCTAACTTTGTCCCATTTTTTCACCAAGATGCAAATTGATTCAAACAAAACTCAAAACATGAAAGTTGTAGTCCATTTCAAAATATACAACTTTTATTCACAAAGTTTCCTCAAAAGAAGCTTGTAGCTCAAGTTATGATTTTTGGAATAAGGGTGCAAAACATTCTTAACTTAGAAAATTTTTGACCTATTCTAGGCAGGATTTTTGTCCAACTTCATGGCCACTTTTCACATGCTTCCACTTGGAATTTAAATTTGCATTACAAAGATGGATTGTAGTATACATTCCAAGCTTTCCAAATTGTCAAAGAACTTCTTAAACACCCTTGTGGTTAGGGAGAATCGAATTTGCAAAGATGGGCAAAAGTCACTTTGTTCATAGCCAAATACATGTTCATAACCTTGGCATTTTCAACGCAGCATTGTTTAGGCTAGTTTGCAGGCCTCTAATCCTCTTCACAATCCATAATTAAATGCATATCCTTTGTGTTAGAGTGTTATTTTGTTCATTTGGACAATACACACAAAATCAATTCTTAATTAGAAAAAGCAATTTTGCCATTTTAGAAAAGTAAGGCTTTATGTCAAATTCTGGATCTTTGAAGTACAAGCCATATCTTTGAGGCACAAGTTTATGGACAAATCCCACTGATCAAGAACAAAGTATGCATCATGCTTGAGGGACCTTCATTGGCCTATAACCCAAGTTGCATATCTTTGCTTATTAGAGAAGAAAAGTGGCAAACTCATACCAAGCTCTCATTCTTGTAAGAACCAGCAAAAGCAAACTTTATAAACACATTTCATACTCCCTAACTGACCTAAAGCACGACCAAACCATCTTCAATACCTCCTCATTCATCAAAACACCATTTTTCTGCAAGAAACAGGGCATGCCTGCAGTTTGACTTGGCCAACATCATTCACTCGTGCGTTTTTGCCCAAACAAGTTCCAATACATTCCCTACCATCCATTGAAGCTATTCCAAGCCTTAGATACAAGCTATAACATCCATAGCCAAGTGTGCCATTTTCACTTTTCAGTTTTGCAGGTTGACTTCCATAGCTTGATTCAGAGCGATTCAAAGCAAGCTAAGCATAGGGGAGGCATCCTTGGACTTCAGGCAAGTTGTACCAAAGTTCAAACTCCATTGAATATACCTCCATTGTTGTACACGACTCAAGCTGAACAGGTAAAAATGTGAACTTCCATCTCTCTATCCAGGCATATTTAGGTTTAAGTTTGTGAAGAAAGCATGTCCTACTCATAGCCCTGAAGCCATCCATGTAGTTACTTTTCATTTATATTGTGTGTGCTGTGAGAATTTTGGACCTGCACATGGAAGAAAAGCTAGGTCATAAATTGGGGGAGGAGAAATTCTCTCTCGTTTCTGAGAGTTAGAACAACTTTTTTGAAATCGTGACATAATGCTCTACATTATTGATGTTATAAGTTTTTGCTAAAAGTCAAAGAATCAGGAAGTTTGAATCAAGCATGGAGGGCGCGCGTTTTTGAGACAGAAATGGCTAGAGGTTGAAGAAGGTGGACTTGGGTTGGGCCTGAGTTTGTTTTTTCTGTTTGCATCACTTTTCTCATTTTGCACCCCCCTGGCCCATTGTATGAAATATCCATTATTTTTGACTTTTTATTTTTTCTTCTGACTTGATATTTTTTGTCAAAACATAAAAAATATTAAAAATATTTTTTCATCCATTTTTGCATTTATTTGGCATTTGTTTGTTCTATTTAAGCATATATATACAAACAAATATATTTCTTTTTATTTAAAACACTAAAAAAATAATACAAAATATATTTTCAGTTATTATTTTATTTTACCTTTTTAAAACATTTTCTCAAAATATACACTTTTGTAAATAATTAATATTTTATTTTTTTAGTATATATTTAGTATATTAAAATATATGATATAAATACTTACATATTTTATTAAATATTTAGGATAAAAATATGAAAATAATACATTTTTATTTTTATTAATATTTGACATCAAAAAATACTTTTTACAATATACTTCTCTTTTATTTATTTATTTTATAAATAAATACATAAATATTGTATATAATTGGTAAATAATTACTATTTGTTAAAATTAGGGTTTTGCCCTAAAAACCACAAAAATACTCCAAATTGATCTTTTTCTATTTTGTTTATATTTCAAACATGAAAACTCTTACATACATAAAAAATCTCATTTTTTGTGCATAATACATTTTGCATTTATATTTGTTTAAAATATTGTACATTTGAATACTTGTATATTCGATATGGATGTAATAGCCTAGATTTAGATTTCCTGTCAAATACCCCCATTCAAACATTTGTACCCCCATCCCCATAATCATGTTGTAATAGTCTAGGGCTTTAAAATTCCGCATTTAAAAGCTTTCTAATTATGCCATGATAGACCTAGGGTTTGTATGCAAAAATCAATAACAAATAGCTTGACCTAATTCAAAGATAAACAAGCATGAAAATGGACAACACCAATCACAGTTGCACCCTTAGGGTTACTCCACTTGTTGCCTTCCAAAAATGGGCCATGTTGCATGTTGAGTATCTTTGGCAAAATGAAAACAAATCAAATGATCATAGTCCCTCGATGACGCTTTCGAAGTTGCCTAAAAAATGATCAACTTAAAGGAAAAATTGCCAAAGACACTTGGCACCATTGCATTCATGGTCCAAAACGATGACCCGCTCCCGTCCCGTTAACATCCTAACACAAGATTGTCCACCAAATACAATGGTGGAACAATACTGTTAAAAGGGTTAAAACATAGGAAAAATCTTTGAATAAATTTAGGGGTAGACAACTCTTAGTTACTTGATCAAACTTGCAAAACAAAACCTTGCCTACTTTCAAAAACACAACTTTCAAAAACACAAATTTCAAAAACACAAACTTTCAAAAACACAAACTTTCAAAAACACAACTTTCAAAACAACTTTCAAAACCTTGAAACATCTTTTCAAAAAGACAAACACCTTTTGTAAAACATTCGAGTAAAGAATTGTTACAAGGGTTGCCAAGACAAAGGCATCTTTTTCAAAACATTTTCAAAACCACACACAAAGCACCATTTCAAACAATTGAAAATGCAAGGCAAGTAACTAAGAGCCCATGGATAACCATGGATAGAAAGGGTGCTAATACCTTCCCTTTCTATAATCTACTCCCCGAACCCAAGAAAACATCTCAAAGGTTTTTTGCTGTGCTTTTTAACCTTTCCTTAGGATAAAATAAAAAGTCGGTGGCGACTCTTGCTAAACCGAAATATTTGCGAAAACAAACGCAAAACCTCAAGTCAGTTCTCCCACCGTATCACAATAATATATCTCTTTTGTAATTAAACTTTTATCGTTTATGGAACACAAGAGGCATGGGACGATGAGCAACTACAAGGAAACAATTATTAACTTTGACAGACAAATCAAGCCACTGAGACAACATTTTATAGAGCAACAATTTCTAACAGTAAATTATATATCAAACCAGTACCTCAAAATACATTAATTGAAAACAAAACATCAAAATAGAAGTTGTTATAAGATGTTATAAGTTATCAACAATCTATAATAGAATTTGTCAAACAAAATAAAATTATGAAATCGACGTCGTGACTATGTAAGATCAAAACATCAGTTACCAAATTTTTTTACCACAATCTTTCTACTGGAAACAGGATGGAAACACTACTTCTAAAATAGGAACTCTGCACACAACAAAATGGAAAAACTATTTGGTGGAAGTAATTGTAGATACGTGTTGCATTTCTATGCGGCCCCAAGTTTCCCACAACTTCAACTACAAAAAAATCAAATACATCAGTTAAAAGTGAATGTGTTATAATAACTAATTGGAGTTTAATTAATCGGCATTTACACTGATCCTAGCACACATAAGCATCCACATATAAAAAAACACTTCACTATCTGTAAACAAATTCAATTAGCTTTTTCATTGCGAATACATGATCGATAGTCTTCTCTCTGCAGACTCTAACCTCCATCAAATTCAAATTTTAGGAAGAGCCAAATTGTTTTTGACAAAGACATATAAAGGAAAATACAAAAGAAAAACAAAATTAGTTGGGAAGTTCTGGCAGCTTTACACACAAAAATATAAGAATAAACTTGTGGTTCAAGAAAAAAGTGGATGTTTCAGTAAAAAACAATCTACAGACTGTTCAGGACCGCTGAGATATATGTACTTGGAGTTTTTGTAAGAAAGAGAATGGAGAAAATAAACACTTTTCTTCATAATAATTTCTGACTGTCTGTCATTCGTGATGGCCAGTTTTGGTTCGGGAAGCCATGTCAGGCTGATCGTGTTTGGTTAGTTGGGAAATGGGAACGATGTTAGGGTTAACACGTTATTGCAACCGCAAATCTACTACAAAGAAACCGAACACCGCAGATCTAGGTTTTAAAAAATCAAATCAAATTCAACAATATGTATAAGGTTACAAAAGCACCAGAGTGTCTTGTGATCACCAGAGTCGGTATCAAAGACATCAAGCTTGCAAACAAAGCATGGATTTTCCCCGGACAAATCTACACCGTCTTCGACCTCTCTCTGGTCAACTCCGGGTTTCACAACATAGTAGTTTCTTGATCTTGTCCACCTCCTTGAAAATGGATCATAACCCGCGTCCCCTTCTTTCAAACCGGTTTTTGTTGGCCTTAATTCATAAGCATTCTTGAAGTTATAACCTTGTTTTTTATGTTCATTTCAGCCAGTTTCAGAGCTTTGGCGTCCTTCACCCACTGTTTGTATTCCTCTTCAAGTGGAGCAGAGTCGCTTACCTTCCGTCTCCGTTTTGTGGGAGAGGAAGAAACAATGGTGGAAGTAATGGTTTTGGGGGTTAGGGTTTGGAAGAAACATAGATAGTTGGTGGATGGAGAAACGGTGCGGAGGTTGTAGGAACGATTTAGAACACGCCTATAATAGGAATAGGAAGAGAGAGGTAGAGCAGATAAATGAAAAATGTAACTGCTATACAGAGGTAATGGAATGGGGAGAAAAACGTAACCGTTGTCAGTGATGACTCAATGGAATAAAATGTAAAGAAAAATCAAGATTTGAAATGAACTATTTTCTATTTTCTAATGAAGCCACGTGGTGTGTTTTTGAAATAAAAGGACAAAATAGACTTTTACGGTAGAATGAGTTTTCTTATATTATAGATTATACTAAATTAATTAGTTTTTGTTATTTATAAATGACCTGACATTAAATATATGACATGTATTAAGAAAAAAAAGACACCTACATATTTTTTGGATTAAAATTAGGACGGAGATCAAAGCTGCTTAAAAAGAAAATAGGGAGTCTGAAGCCGTGAAAAGACTAAAATATGGAAATCAAAATTATAATTTAGCCAAAAAAAAATATTATTGTTATAAATGATAACAACTTTACTATTGATTCAAATATTGAATAAAAGAAATTTATCGATCATTTTTTTCAAATATATAAAAAGATTAATGAAGTAACTCAACTTTCATACTCACTGTAAAAAAAACAAATTTTGATCAAATCATAACTTTTCGATTTTTTTAAAACACAAAAGTAAAACAATTATATCAGAATTATCAAGTTATTGGTCAAAATATTGAATAATAATGAGATAAAATTTATCATTAATCATAATATTTAAATCATGCAAAAACAAAATTAATTTTTATATATAAAAAATATATATTATTAATTTAAATATTTATATATATGAAAAGAGTTATAAGTACTAATTTATTATTTTTTATAAATAATAATTTTTTTTTATTGAATAATTATTTATTTTTATTATATTTTGAGAACAAATATGCATCTCATATTAGAATATCCGAGAACACACGAATATTCCACTAATGTTATTAAAACCGCATTAATTAAAAAAACACACAAACTAATCTATGTTTGAATAGATAAAATAGAACGGAATAAAACTGAATAGAATAGAATGAAGTGAAAAGGAATAGAATAAAATGAAATAAAAATATTATTCTATTATTTGAGTAGGTCGCAATGAAATATAATCATTTTGTCATTTTATCTAAATTGAAGGATAAAAAAAATAATAGAAAGGAAAATACATGTCATCCCATACCACTTCATTCCATTTTTTTTATAATTAATATGAATCATAGAACATAAGTTTATAAGTTTATTTCATTCCTTTTCATTTCATTCCATCCTCTTTCATCAATCCAAACATTAAAAAAAAAACTCGTCTTTCTCTCTGTCGTGTTAAAATTACAAACCCTACTACCGGTTAAGTATCTCACCGCGGCGAAGGGTTTTAGGGGTTCAAAATGAAAAACCTAAACCTCTTCCGGGAAGTTCCTTTGATTCTCCGATTAACCTCCGACGACGAAACTTTCCGATTCGCCGCCTTAGATATCGAGCGCAACCGTCTCTTCTTCCTCTCTTCCCACAACTTCATCTACAGTTACCACCTCTCTTCCTTCCACGTTCGTTCCCAATCTCTCTCTCGTAGTACAATTGATTTTTTGAAAACTATGAATTATTGATTCCTATAATGTTTGTATGGCAGGATAAAGAAGTTTGGAGTAATAACACGTTGTTATCTACGGATTATGGAACCGTTGATCTCGAACCTGATGATAGTGTTACTTCATTTGATTATCTCATGGAGAAAGAAGCACTTCTTCTCGGAACTTCCAACGGGCTTTTATTGCTTTATGACGTTGACGCTAACGCAACTCAAGTTGTTGGTAACTTGGATGGTGGTGTTAACTGCATTTCCCTTAGTCCTGATGGTGAACTTCTTGCTATAATAACTGGTTTTGGTCAAATTTTGGTTATGACTCATGATTGGGATTTGTTGTATGAAACACCACTCGTTGATGACGATGATGTTCCGGAAGGCCATCGCGTAAGTAAGGACTAATCACCTTTCTTCTCAATTTTATAATCTTTATATAAGTAAGTGTAATTTGTGTGATGATGTTTCTGTGTTTATGCTGTTGCCCATGTTGGGATTGGCTTATAAAGCCCAGTTTGCATAAACAATTTTATTAAACATGAAAGTGCTTATGTATAAGCTATTTATATTTCCATAACAAAAGATAAAATAAACTCATACTAGTTTCGTATAATACCGCTTAAGCTGGAGGGAAGGGAAAATTTTATCGGATTGTGGTAAGACCTCCAATGATGTACAAGACAAAATGTTGGGCGGTTAAGAATCAACACAAGAATAAAGTAAGTGGAGCAGAGATGAGGATGATGAGTTGGATGTGTGGTAAGACTAGACAAAATATGATTAAAAATGAAAATATTAGAATGTTGGAGTAGCACTTATAGTAGAGAAGATGAGAAAAAAATTGACTTGGTTGGTTTGGGCATGTGGATAGAAGACATGTAGATTCAGTGGCAAGGAGAGTAAATTAGGTGGGGAGAAGTCAAACAATTAGAGGAAGAGGAAGATATAGAAAGACTATAAGAGAAGTTATTTAGAAAGATCACCGTATAACGATTTGGATAGAAACATGGTCCTGGATAGAATTTATGGCGAAAGTTGATCCATGTAGCCGACCCCACTTGGTAGGATAAGGTTTGGTTGTTGTTGTACTAGTTTCGTATAAGGTATAATATATTTTCACAAGTTATTACAGAGAGCTTATGAAAATAAGTTAAAAACAACTAATGGACATGTCATAAGTTTTTTACCGAACAGTCTCACTAGTGTTTATGCATTTAGATAAGCTTAAATGAAGCTATAAAAGGAAGCCTATGGTTTATGGTGGTTCAGTTACTAAAATGTTTTGGTAAGCTTATATGTGGCCTATAGAAGTTAATTAGAGAGTTTATGAAAAAATTGAGATGAGTAAGTTTCAACTTATAAGTGATATTTCTGTTTAAAGAACTTTTAGTTATTGTAAGACTGTTTTATTTTTTTTTTCCACAAGTGTTTCCTAAGAAGTTTAGCCAAATTGGATCTATATATTTTTATTTTAGGCTTTTTGAACTACTAGCATATAGCATAAGTGAATGTTTGGGCCTTATAGATGTATTATTATTTGCAAATTTGTTTGTCTGAGTTCTCTTTTTATGTAAAGCTGGTTCAAAATAGTGATTCTACTGTGTTTTTCAGACGGGGAAAACTTTCTGGAGGGTGGGTCTGAGCAACATCCGATATCTTGGCGAGGAGATGGAAAGTATTTTGCTACGATGAGTGTGTGTAGTTCTAAGTTATTGCGGAAACTTAAGGTTTGGGATCGAGATTCAGGGGCATTGCTTGCTTCTTCGGAAGAAAAAACTTTTGCTGGAGCTGTTTTGGAGTGGATGCCCAGTGGTGCTAAAATTGCAGCTGTATATGACAGAAAAGCTGAAAATGAATGCCCTTCCATTGTTTTCTTTGAGAGGAATGGATTGGAAAGAAGCAAGTTTAGTGTTGGTGAAGGAGTTAATGCAAAAGTAAAATTTCTGAAGTGGAATTGCAGTTCTGATCTTCTTGCGGGTGTTGTAGAATGTGAAAATTATGATGCTATAAAGATTTGGTATTTTAGCAACAACCATTGGTATGTGAAGCATGAAATTAGATACTTGAAGAAAGATGAAGTCAAGTTCATATGGAATCAAGAAAAACCTTTGCAGATGATTTGTTGGACTCTTGGTGGCCAGGTTACAGTTTACAACTTTGTTTGGATCACAGCTGTTATGGACAATTCTGTTGCACTAGTCATCGATGGTTCCAATATTCATGTAACACCACTTTCCTTATCTTTAATGCCACCTCCTATGTATTTATTTAGCCTAAAATTTTCTTCTCATGTACGGGGTACGGCAGTATATTGTAAAAACTCCAAGAACAAGTTAGCTGCATTTCTTTCAGATGGTAGTTTATGTGTTGTAGAGCTTCCATCAATCGAAACCTGGGAAGAACTAGAGGGGAAAGAATTCAGTGTTGAAGCCTCTCATACTGAAACGGTGTTCGGATCCATATTACATCTTGTATGGTTGGATTCACATACGCTGTTATCTGTTTCACATTATGGTTTCAGTCACAGTAATGACTTATTCAAAACCTCACTCAATAAGGATGCACTTCCAGGCTTCTTTTTGCAGGAAATAGAATTTGAATGTTCTGAGGATATTGTTCCAGGATTGCTGACATGTTCCGGCTGGCATGCAACAGTTTCAAAACAAAATACCCTTAAAGAGCTTGTTATTGGCATTGCTCCAAACCCTGCTGGTAAATCTTCTGCATTTATGCAGTTTTCTGGGGGTAAAATCAAAGAGTATTTATCGAAAATGGGCACTGGTGGTGCATCTCTAGAGCAAGAATTTCAAGGTTTTTCCACAGCCTGCCCTTGGATGGGTGTGGCGCTGGTTGGAAGTGTTGGTCAGTCAAAACCAGTGCTTTTTGGACTGGATGAGATTGGCAGATTGCATACTAGCGGGGGGGTAGTGGTTTGCAACAACTGCAGCAGTTTTTCATTTTACTCAAATTTGGCAGACCAAGTAATAACACATCTAATTCTTGCAACTAAACAAGATCTGCTTTTTATTGTTGACATGGTTGATATATTTAACAGGGAGTTAGACTTAAAGTATGGAAATTTCGTCCGTAGTAACAGCAGAAAAAAGGAAGAAAATGAAAGCTACATTCATATATGGGAGAGAGGTGCTAAAATTGTTGGAGTTTTACATGGAGATGAAGCCGCCACTATACTGCAAACTACTCGGGGAAACCTAGAATGTATATACCCTAGAAAATTAGTTTTGGTTTCCATCATTAACGCCTTAACTCAAAAGCGATTTAGAGATGCGTTACTTATGGTCAGGAGGCATAGGATAGATTTCAATGTAATTGTTGATTACTGTGGTTGGCAAGCATTTTCACACTCAGCTTTTGAATTTGTCAGGCAAGTCAACAATCTGGGTTACATAACTGAGTTTGTTTGTTCTGTAAAGAATGAAAATGTTATAGAGAAACTCTACAAAAATCATGTCTCTGTTCTCTGTTCAGAGGTCGCTAATGTTATGCTAGCTGGAGGCCTTGAAAATTGTCCTGCTGATAACAAGGTGTCTTCGATTTTGATGGCCATAAGGAAAGCACTTGAGGAACACTTTACAGAAAGTCCTGCAAGGGAGCTTTGCGTATTAACCACTCTTGCTCGGAGTGAGCCTCCGTTACTTGAAGATGCTCTAAAGAGAATAAAAGTCATTCGTGAAAAGGAGTTGTCTCATGCTGATGATCATATGAGGATGTCTTACCCTTCTGCTGAAGAAGCTTTGAAACACCTGTTGTGGTTGGCCGACGGGGATGCTGTCTATGATGCTGCTTTGGGACTTTATGATTTAAAACTCACAGCTATTGTGGCATTGAATGCCCAAAAAGATCCAAAAGAATTTCTTCCTTTCTTGCAAGAGTTGGAGCGTATGCCTACACAATTAATGCAATATAATATCGACCTTAGGCTGAAAAGGTTTGAAAAGGCTCTCAGACATATTGCTTCCGCTGGAGATTCATATTATGATGATTGTATGGCACTTGTGAATAAAAACCCTCAACTTTTTCCATTGGCTCTTCAACTTTTTACTGACCCTGCCAAAAGGATGCCATTCCTAGAGGCATGGGGTGATTATCTTAGTGGTGAAAAATACTTTGAAGATGCTGCAACAATTTACTTGTCCTGTTTCAATTTGGATAAGGCTCTGAAGTCTTATCGTGCTATTAATAACTGGAGTGGAGTGCTTACAGTCGCTGGGTTCCTTAATCTGGGAAAGGACGAAGTACTGCATCTTGCCGGTGAACTTTGCGAACAACTTCAAGCGCTTGGTAAACCTGGTGAAGCTGCTAAAATTGCCCTGGACTACTGTGTAGATGTTAACTCTGGTGTGAATTTATTAATTTCTGCTAGGGATTGGGAGGAGGCTTTGAGGGTTGTTTTTATGCATAGAAGAGAGGACTTAATTAAAGTCGTAAAAGATGCTGCTGTTGAATGTGCAAGCACACTTACCAATGAATATGAGGAAGGCTTAGAGAAAGTGGGGAAGTACTTGACCCGTTACTTGGCTGTTCGACAGAGAAGATTACTTCTTTCGGCCAAGCTCCGGTCAGAGGAGCGGGCAGCTAGTGATCTGGATGATGACGCTGCTTCAGAAGCTAGCAGTAATTTTAGTGGAATGAGTGCATACACCACAGGGTATGTAATTTTCTTCTATCCCATATACACTACTATATACTTTGGGAGATGTAAAACATCAATTTAACATCCTTTTGTAATATTCTGGGTAATGTTCTAGGTGCTCTTTTGGTTTTTAAAATTGTAGTCTTTATCATAATATTCACAATAAATGAATTTATTTGTCTTCATGTAAAATAATGTAACCTTTGAATCTCGTGGTTATTTGTGGGTAATGTTTCGCACATCCTACCTTCCGTGCCCTCTTAGGATTGAAGAACCATTGTCACATTCAAACTCATCTCTGTCTCTTAGTAGCATCTGCTGCCTCTGCAGCCAGAGATCAGGCATCCGAGTCTGGATAATCTTTGTTTTCTAACCATCCATAAAATTTGATCTGGTCTGCCATTGTGTCCACAAATGAGTTGTTCTTGTGCCTCATTTTTTCAATGTGAATAAAAAAGCCTCCTGTATAATAACATATTTACACCTATGATTTAGAGACACAACTATTACAGTTGATTATAAAATTGAACCATGTTTATTTTTCTTTTTTTTTTTAAATGAAAAAAAATAAAATAACAAAGGTGATTCTTTTCACATTATTGTTATACTTATTTCTTGTGTTATACTTTTGGTGTGTGAGACTTCATATATTTTCCTGATTTCATCCACAGGACCAGGAAAAGTTCTGCTGTTTCTACTATTTCAGCTGCAACTACCAGGGCAAGAGAGGCTAGGCGTCAGAGAAAGAGAGGAAAAATCCGTCCTGGGAGGTATGTAAACATGTGACTCTATTTGCACCCGTCCTTCCCCGTGTACCTTTGTTTTTCATTAGCCACAATTTTGCAGTGCTGGTGAGGAGTTGGCCTTGGTGGATCATTTGAAAGGCATGTCTCTGAGAGTGGAATCAAGACGAGAGCTGAAATCTTTGTTGGTTTCCCTTATGATGTTTGGTGACGGTGAAACAGCAAGGAAGCTACAGCAAATGGGTGAAAACTTTCAATTGTCTCAGATGGCTGCAGTCAAATTAGCCGAGGAGACAATATCAACCGAAACCATAAATGAGTATGCACACACTTTGGAGCAATATACCCGAAAAGTCAGGAATGAAATTCACAACTCTGAGGATTTGTCGTGGCGGTTGAAAGTTTTTTTGACATATGAGTAAGCTTAACTTTTAACATAAAGATCCTATTTTGTAAGTTTATCTGGCATGTAGTTGATGATGTTGCTTTTTTATTTGAAAGATCCTATTTCAGAACTATTTTTGTGAAATTCCGTAGAATTGAATGTGCTACTGTAATGAAAGTTACTGCCCTAGGAGAGTGACTTGGGTTCTCAAATGTGTCAATTGAGAGTAATGATGCGATACAAATTCAGTGACAATTTATTTGTTTGTATTCATTTGTGTTTTTTAATAATAAATTTACACTTTATTATAGTTATTTTTAATTGCAAGAGGAGGAAATATGGCTTAAAATGAAATTATCGGATCTATTTTTTAATTCATTTTATTAGTTAATATTTTATTTCAATTCATACCGTCACATTTCTAGCTGAGAAATTAACTTGCCACCCCTATTCTACATGTCACCCTTCAAATTTCATTATTCTCAAAATATTTATTTTACTATTTAATCTAAATTTTTTATTTTTGTCAATTTTTTTTACCAATGATTAAAGGAGTCAAAAAATGAAATTTCTGATATGTTAAAGCAAATTTTTGAAGTTGATTTTGGTCGTTTATCGGAAATTTTTTATGTTCTACGAATTTCCTGTAGCAATTAATTGAAAATTTCAAAATTTCGTGTCATTTTTCAAAAGCCAGCACATGTACCGGAAATTATACAAATTTTTGGTAGAAAACGTTAATCGGAAATTTAAAATTTTTGGGGTACTGGAAATTTCAGTTATGCTTGAAATTTCTGGTATATCTGCAAATGAAATTTTATATCTTTGTGGTCCTGAATCGGCAACGTCAACTTCTTATATGAATTTGGGTACCGATCTTACGCGGTTCTTCATCACAGATGCAATATGGTTCTTATTTAATTTACACATTTTTATTTGTTTTTTTGTAAATCGATGAAATTTAATAATTATATGTTGTTGTAATTGACCAATTTTGAATCACGAGTTAAAATTCTTGAATGGGCACAATCTATTGGTAAAAATCATGGTATTGTTGTTGTTACAATTCGGTCCAATTCTTCTAATGGACTGCGAGAGAGGAAGGATAAATTGATTATGGGCTGTGACAGAGGGAGAAATTACAAAAAGAAAAATGAATTTTTAGGGTGGAGTCTGCATATTGGAGACTAAAGAACTTGTTGATTAAAAGTCTTGGTGATTTATGTCGAAGTTGGGATGTTGTGAACACAATGTTGAAGTTTCAACTACGTTCCATCAGAGTGTCGTTTCAAAAAAGTGACATCAACATTGAGCATCAGTATAACACCCACTTATATTCTAAATTGCATAGTTTTGTCTCAAGACAATGTATACAACTCATTGGAAAGGAAGTAGAAAGAGTAAAATTTGTTGGTGCAAGCAAGGAGACGTGTGGTTGTTATATTAGAACAACACATGGGTTACCGTGTGCTTGTCAGTTTGCCGATTTTCAAAGTTTAGGCACATCTATACATTTGGAATCAATTCATGTATTTTGGACAAAATTGCACATTTCAAAATATAATGTGACTCCTGATGAGGGTAAGTGGTATTTAGAAGAAGAGTGTGAAGAGTTGAAGAGATATTTCAGTACTTTGGATATTGTGGGTCAAAGGGTGTTGAAGAAAAAAGTTTGTGATCTAACTTATCCATCCACAACTTCAATGTGTCCACCGCCGGTGAAATACAAGGCAAAAAGGGGAGTTAAGAAAAGTAGAAAGGGTGAGGAGAGTGATGTGCATCGTGATCCTAGTCAGTGGGAATATGATGCAGTTTTGCAGGGGAATCAGACTACAAAGAGATCATTCCCAAAATTAATTGGAAGTCAATCGTCGATCGTGCCAATTGATAAGCAACCTTCTACCAAATCTTCAAGAGCTGAGTACTTGTCACAGGTTCCTGCTTCCTTTCATCCATACATCGGTGACATAATTGATATTGAGGATGATGAAAATTATGGTTTCTATTGTATTTCATCTTTATTAGAATGGGGGCAAGATACGTGTTATTCGGTTCGGAAGCAGTTGGATATTCAAGTTCATCAACACGCTGACTTGTTTTCCAAGTTGTTCTAGGACACTGTCTCTGTTGTTAGGACTTCGTTACAAGTAAAATACTTAGGTGTGCAAGGTAGGGATAAATGGATGTCAATTTCTGATATAGGTTACCCTATTGCTTCTAAATACGGAGTCGTATTTGTTTCCATTTTCATGAGACTTAACATAACATTTTTCCCACTTCTCATAGCTCCACCCCCATACACGAGTCGGTATACAATCATTGTTGTTGGTTTTGTCAATGAAAATTATTGAATTCAACTAAAATTGAAACTCGATTGTCCATTACCTCTCGTCACTGCTCATTGGAGGGAGAATTGTTCTAATGATGCAAAAGCATGGGAATCAGCATATGCGGGTCGTTTCAGGCATTGAGAAGAATTATCTAGGAAGTGATTGTAGTTTTTTTAATGCATATATGTATGACGTTTATTCTATTTATATATTAAGTTGGTTCTCTATTTTACTGTGTATTTTATTCAAGTAAAAGTTTAAAAAAATGTTCCACTACTACCAGAAATTTTAAATTTCTGGTTTTTTTCACACACCAAAATTTCAAATTTCCAGTTCCTTATAAGGACCATATACACCAGAAATTTGAAATTTCCGGTTAAGTTCATAAGGCACGGTAAAAATTTGTAAAATCAATGAAATTTTCGGCATTTTCATGAAATTTCTGGTACTACACCAGAAATTTCAAAAAAATTGATATATTACAGGGACAGTTTCGTAAAAGTGCCAAGACAGGGGGAGTGACATGTATAAAATGGGGGGGGGGGGCATGTTAATTCCTCCCCATTTATCCATCTCATGGGAAGAACGACAATCAAAAGAACAGGGCTTAAAGTAGTTTTAGTGTCCCTTTTTTATTTTTGAGGTAATTTCTCATTGCATCCTTGTACTATGGGGTGATTTTCTGAAAATTCTAAAATATCTTTGGGTGAATTTGAAGATGTATCTTCGAACACATCAAATATCATTTTCTGCTTAAATTTAGTTTGGAGATGCGTCTCTGAATAAACCAAAGGTAAATTTACAGATACTTCTTCGAAGTCACCTTTCTTTCTAAGTAAATCAGACATCTGTCGCATTTCTTAAGAAAATGGTTCGGAGATGTATCTGCGAACTTGGTGTTTGGAGATACATCTCTGAATTCTTACCTGCATTTTTCATTTTTCATTTGCAGAGACAGTGTAACCAGATTGTAGTTTTTTTAATCTAACATAATTTTAGATCGATTAACATTGTTGTTATTTGTTTCAAAGATTAATAAAAAATGAATATTATAGAACCCAGTAATGCGTTAATTACTCAAAGATTATAATAACACAAAAATTGTTCTCCAAGTCGATGAAAAATATAAAAAATACAAGCAAAAATATAGTCTACTGAGTATGCCTAATCCTAACACCTCGACTCCTATTCTGCCTACAACCTAAGAAATTATGTGCATTGGTAAGAATGGTACATGTTAAGACAACCGCTTTATTGCCACCTCTCTCAAACAACCCAGACTCGATGCCCTCTCATGTCATTTGCAAAATGTTCTGATTGGAAAAACGCCAATGGTATAAGGCCTGCTCATTCTCCAGGATCTCCTCATTAGTAGGCCTAGGTGGACGTTCAGGAGCGTCTGGTGTCATGTAAGAGTGTGACACTTTATATAACCAATTCATGTAATCCTCCACATAAGACCACTGTTACGTGTCTTCGTGACTCTGATACTCCTCTGGTACCAAATGACTCAAAATATATCAGAATGTCATCCAACTGTCTGCGGAAAATACTGACAGGAACAACTTGAAGGGGGGACCTCAGAATGATCTCCACGCACCTAAACTGCCACATGCACTGCTCAGACAGATACATGCACATGATATTAGTCCCACATGCCAGCCCTCAGGAGTATAATGAAATATGGTTGAATAGAATAGTGTCTCGATGAGTAATGTATAACATCCATATGACGTCATCATGCTGAGTCTGGTCAATATTCACACGGAACAACACCACAACATCATTCCCTCTGTTAGGGCGAAAAAGGCAAGGAAATGGATAATCTTCAATATATGATGGGTCATACTGAAACCTGTGAATGCAGTGATAGTGGGAAAGGATTCATACCTGAAAATGAATAAGAAAAAAAATATTAGTAACAAATGTGAAAAAAGTTGTTTTTAACTTAATAGTGAAATTTGGAAATTACCGTAAGCAGGGTGCATGAGCTTGTCATCTATTTTGTCATCCAACAAGAACCTTCACTAGTTTGAAGTACATGTATACCAAGCATGCGACCCTCTAATTCCACTCACGAATGACCTTCAAGTCGATGAAATAGTTGAGGTAAGTCGCATCTATGTAGGTTGTACTTTTGTCCACAAATAAGGACTTGCCAACCAAGAATAGGAAGAAGCACCTAAAAGCACACTCCATGTGGTATCCAATCCAAAGATCACGGTGTTAGGGTGTTCAACTATATCTAATTTATTGTTATACAACTTCGCCAACCAAGATAACTTGGCATGTGCATCCATGGTGTTGTTACACTATTGCATGGCTTCCTCTATGTCAAATCCCAAATAAACCACCATCATCTCCACTGCATCATCCTTGGCGATCTTAGAATGATCAAATAACCTTCCTTTGATGAGAAGGTGTAGAAGACAAGCAACATCATTTAATGTAATCTTCATTCTGACAATAGGCAGGTGGAAAGATGACGTTTCACTATGTCATCTCTAAGAAAATGCAGCCCGTATGCCATGACTGATGATGTTGTACCCGAAAGCATAAAGACCTGCAAGACCAGAGTTTTGGAGTACACTTTGGAACCACTCATCATGAGACTGAAAAATATTGTGAATCTTTCTAGCATAGTTCACAGATATCAGACACTCACGTTCCTGTTAAAAATAAAATATAACAGTCTTAGTTGAGTTGA